TAAATGGTTATATCACCATTCCTTTGAAGATCATGAGTAAAAAAAAGAATTTCGATAGAATATGCTTTGTTTTATCTCCCTTTGTGTATCCATTTTTCAATTGTGCGATACATGCAACATTATCTTCATATATAATTGTCGATGTCATTTTTTCAGAAGATAAACCACAAGTTTCCCGTATGTTTTGAATCACAGATCTTAGTCAAACGCATTCACAACTTGCCTCATGTAATGCTAAAATTTCAGCATGATTAGACAGTGTGACCTAATTTATTTTCATCTTTAATATTAATCGTAGATTTAAAAAACTTGTAATAAATAGTTATAATATATTTTTCATCCTTGTAAGATTTATAAAGATTATTTTGTACTTGTAAAATGAGTAAAATATTTTTCTTTGATTTTCATCCCTCTAAAATATAAATTCACTAGTTTGATTATTTTAAGGTAGACAAATAATATTTATGTTGAAAACTAAAAAAAAATAGAGGTGTTAAATATCAATACGATAATAGTACGTAATTATTGTAGGTGACACTTAAGATAATTATTTATCTTAAAAAAAAATAAAAAGTAGTTAAAAATGATTACATAAAAAATAAGAATTAAAAATGAAAATTCAAATTTTAGAAAATGAAAATAAGAATTAAAAATAAGAAACTAAAATAAAAAATTAAAAATAAGAATTAAAAATAAGAATTAAAAATAAGAAATTTTTCGAAAATTTCTGACGGAATATCGGAATATTCTGTCGGAAATTTTCGACGATTTATTTTTTCGTTGGAAAGTTTTCGTCGAAAATTTCTGACGGATTTATATTTCCGTCAGAAATTTTTAACAGAAAATTCTGTCAAATTTTTTTGATAGAAATATAAATCCGTCTAAAATTTTGACGGAAATTTCTGTCAGAAAATTCCATCAAAAATTTTTGACGAGTCCATTTCATCAGAAATTTACATTTTTCTTGTAGTGATACAATCAAAATTCATACTTAGATAATTTAGCCTAAATCTGTCTTGGATACAACCTTACTCTCAACTCCAATCTGATGATGTCACATCCTAAGGTCAATCTTGCTAAACAAACACTCGCTAATTGATGCATAAGGCCATATATCCTCATATCAACATACATGCATATTAAATCATATTAGAATACCCACTTCAAACAATCGATATATATCATTCATAAGCATGTACGAATCAACCACCATTTACCCCATATAGCATGTACATGAACCAACTTTACCACATAACATCATACAACCTTAAACAACCTCTCAATCCACATGACATCTCAAAATCATGACAAAAATCAATTTTTATTCTTGCATTCCCTAACGATTCAAAAATATCATGACACCATACATATCCCTTCGACAACGATCAAAGAAAATGATACCTATAGAGTTCTACTCATCCAAATGATCTCAAACCTATCTCAAAAGAAAGCTAAGAGAATAAGCTATAACTCTTATGAAGACATAAGATTCTAAAAAGGTCATCTACTTAGATAAAAAATTCAAAAATCACAACAAATATATTCAGCACTTACAACTAGACTTTTGATCACCAAAGCAGTTATAACTGAAGTTCTAGACCTCCGTTTTACTTGATTCTAGTTCCATTATAAAGATAACATCCAAAGCTACAACTTTCATGAAGACCACAAAATCTAATTCTGTCAATACGATACTCATATTGGCACAACAAAACTGCAGCAAAAATATCCCCTATACCATACAACAATAGTGTACTAACATCCCACAAAATACCTCAACCATTCCAAACTTACTCCTTTCCACCTTAAACTCATATCCAAGCTTTCCACTACAATCCTAAACCAAAACAACTCACATATTCATCACAAAAGACTTAGAACATAAAACTTACATGCTACCTAAACCATAAAAGGTTAACATGCAAGCACCAACTCCAGAAATCATTGACACTTTAATCTCTCCTTAAGAATACCAAAACTCTAATTCTCAACATACAACCTCCTTGGATTCAATCGCTACAACTATAGATTTCAGAAATTCCACCAATCATAAACTCTTAATACACTCAACAAATCGATGTCTCACCCACATCCAAGGTTCTAATAGTTCTAATTGGTTAGTACAAGGTTTCGTCCACTACTACTGGCATATATGCTCGCAACACGAGCAATACCACTCAATCACTACTTCTTACGTAAGCAAGAAGTATCAAAACAAATAAGCAATCATGAATAGCATCAACTAAGCTATATCATGTCTTTTAGCCAAATTCTAAGAAAACAATATACAAGTAAGCACAACACTAACAACACAAGGGAATCACCATCATTATCCTCATCATAATGCAAAACATTGTTAGAGTACACACACTTAAATAACAACAATCATAATCAATCATCATACTAGCATATCAATAAGTTTCACAATCAATTCATTCCATCATTCATCTATCAAACAAGCATAGTAGACTCATAACTCACGGTCGATTGGATCGACCTGCTCTGGTGTCACAAAAATGTGACACTCTTACTACCCCAACACATATATCGTAATAATATAATTAAATTAAGAAAAATAATTTGGAACGGACTACCAACAATAGGTCTATTTAGTAATTTAGAACAACCTGTTCTAGACTACTAAACCATCTTAATTGGACTCTTGGCCCAGTAAAAATTGGGCTGTTACATATTTATGTTCAAAATATGAATAAAATTGATGGTAAAAAATTTAATTCCTTTTAATGGTGAGATGTGTTAAAGCAAAAATATAATTGTATATTTACTTTCTCTTTTATCTCACTTTTACTCTATTTTCTTTATATTTATATTTTATTAAATCACATATGTTACTTTCTCTTTCTACTTTTTTTCTTTTTTTATTTCTCTATTTTTTTAATCATCTCAATCCACCCCTAAATGGCTAAATGGGATGGACGTCAGTTGGTGCTCATTTCCTGATTAGCATTGTGACTTTTGAGATAACAAAACACTCTTAGATTTCACACTACTTGGTCAAATGGTCTTATCCAAAGTGTAATATGTAACTAAGTTTTAGAACATTTATTAGAATTCATGAAACTAAATATTTTATATATATGAAAAATCTTATAAAATCATAAAATTAACATATAAGTCGAATTCGTGACATTGATAATATATATATATATATATATATATATATATATATATATATATATTTTTATAAGCGTTATTTTATAGTTTCAATTTGAATGGTCTAAAAATTTAGAGAAGAGAGTCAAAATGAGAGAAAAAGATAAAAAATATTTTTTTTTCAACTTCCAAATATGTTTGGTTACTTTAAATTTTCTTAAATTTTGAAATTTTAAAAAATATTTGTTTTCATACTAAATTCTTATATATTAAATATGAATGATTATTTTTTGTGAGTGGATTGAAGCCTTTCTTTAACTAGAAGATTTTTAAGAATTCTTTTAACTTTTTTTTTTATCTAATTATGTTTTTATTTATCATAATTATTTATGATTTAAATTTAAATATTTTTTAAAAAAAATTAATAAATGTAGATATTTTGTGCTACTTATATAATTTATATGTTAAAAATATCTATTTATATAAAATTTAAGTATAATTTATATATTCAAACATAATATTTATTTATATATAATTATTATATATTTAGTTATATATAATAAATATTTAACCTTTACATTACAATTAAAATACTAGTTATTAATAAAGTGAAATCCATTTAAACATGTGTTATGTTACACTTACATCTGACTTTAAAATCGTAATGTAACAACATTACTCCACACATATCATATCATCAAAATAGTGATGGAATCATTTTTAAATTTTAAAAATTTGTAAAAATAAAATAAAATTTAATTTTTATATATTATCGGTGTTTACAGTTTTACTAAATCATGCTAAGTATTACTTTTAAGACTATTATGATAAAAGCAAATAAATTTATTATATAAATGAAGAACATAACATATACAATGTAAAATATCAAGGCATTCAGCAAAAAAATGTAAAATATCAAGATCAAATGTTGTATGATTATCCAAATCCTTCTTAGCTACTGCTTATTTATGCTTTACTCTTGATCAAATTCTGCTTTCTTCATGGTCCAAGCATTAAGTTCTGAGATCACCACACTCTGGCTTCCATTGTTGAATACATAAAGATGTGCATCTTTGTCTATAGCCAATGATGGATAAACTCTACTAGTAATACAAATTCTCCCTTTCTCTCCAAAACTCTCAATAATGGAGCGATCAATCTGCATAATATGAACCAATGTATATCAAACTAGTAAGCACATAATGAAACAAGAAGGATAATATTTTCATTAGCAATAAACATACCAAGCTTCTAAGTGAAATCGTTTTGAGATTGGGGTCTATGTCAAAGATGGTTCCATATGGGGTTTTATCAAGGTCCTGCCGCAATGATGACCTGTGAAGTGTACACAACACATATACTCAAGTCTCAACCATAAATCACTAGTTGAGGTTTAACCTTGATGAAAAGTTAAAATATATGCACCATAGTTTACAAATCAAGTTGGGAGAATTTCAAAAATAACCTGCTCTGGTCACTGCACATGAAGCATACATATCTATTGGGAGCTCTATATATTCTGAAGAATATTGCAGTGTGTTCTGCTTGGTCCTCAGATGCTAAAGCTAACAAACCAAATGGCCCTATTATACCACTTCTTGATGCATATTCTTCACTACACAGTAAGAGGGGATCAACTTCACTTTGATCTAGCCACTCTGCACTTTCCAGTTCAGGTAGCTCAAATAACACTTCTACATCAACCTTGAAAAGTTTAAGTTAAAAGAGAAGATCATCATTGATGTTGTACTTGGTTTTAAAACTCAAAAAAAAGTGAGAAAATACATCACCAGTTTTACTTACTTGTGATGCAGTGATACCTGAGACTTCAAGAGTTGATCCACCAACCAGTTTCTCTCCCATTATGCTAACATGTTTGTCACGTAGTTTTTCTACCTCTTCAATTGGCCATTGCATCAACCACTTCCCACTTTTATCAAGCCAAACTTGCCTTGGAATACCCTACATAGCCAAACAACCATATCTTAATATCTAGATCACATTATAATAAGAATATGATCCTAAAACAATTTTTAACATGGAGCTTACAGAAGTACCTGTAGACCAGCCCATCCTTTCTCAACATCATCCTGTGTGGTGTCACACTCCTTTGACCACCCCCACAATATCCTTCTGTTCTTGCCATATTCAAAAAATGTCTTGCCAGCATAAAACATTCCATGGTCCAATATTAAGTCCATACAACTTCCTCCCAAGTCAGGATCAGGAATAAACTTTTCCTGATCAGGAAAATATTCACCTACCAAATAGTACTCTTGTTGTTTGTTTTGATAACTCAATTTCAAGACATGCTTAACACTGCTGTTTTGGACAGATGTATCCACCCCATTCTTTGTGCCACTAATGTACACTGGAAAGAAATCTGGACACTCAAACATTCCAGTACTGTCTGATGCATACAAAGGATTGTAGTGTAGTTTCCAATTAACAAAATCCTCACTATGGTAGAGAAGAGCCTTCCCTTCATCACCATTTTTGGCACCAATAATTACTCTCCATTTTCCATCACTTCCTTGCCAAGCAGTTGTTGGATCTCTGAAACCGTCCAATTCAACTCCACTAGGTGGAGTCATCACAGGGTTTTGGGGGTGTTTCACCCATTCTCTTAAGAAGGGGTCTAGTAGATTCTTTGGCATAGCCAAGTTTTGAATTTGATGTTTTCTAGTATCACTTCCTGTATACATAATAATAGGTTTTTCCCCAGGGAGGGTTGTGATTGAGCCAGAATAGCAGCCATTAATGTCATAAGATTCACTTGGTTCAAGAGCATGATTTAGATGAATCCAATTGATGAGATCATAGGATACAGAATGACCCCATACCATGTGCCTACCAAAGGTTGCCGCATAAGGGTTATATTGGTAGAAAAAGTGGTAAACTCCTTTGTAGTACATTGGTCCTGTGATAATTAAATCTCGTTAGATCGTAATTTGGATGTGTTTCATTGAATTAAGAGTTGACAAGTGGATGGGATAGCAGTTCATTAGCTCCTATTTTGAGGGGGAAATTATTGTATAGTACAGGACTATCATGATCCGACCAATCTTCACGTAACATTTAGCTAAATTTTGTTATTAATACTATTTTGTTAATTAAAAATTTGAGCTACAGGTCGCATTTAAAGATTAGTTAGAACCATAGACACGTGATTGTTATATATCATACAAAAAATTTCTAATGGGGGTTAACATGGACAAGAGATAAATATTAATATAACTGAAAGTTTGAGAAGCTCACAAGCATACCATTTGGATCTGCATGATGAAGGCAACCATTTTCAATTTTCATCAGCAAAGCATGTCAAATGAGAGAGAAAATAATTAGACATGGGAAGTGATTTAGAACATAAGCATGTGTGGTAGAAGTAGATGGACAAACTAATCAAGAGAGTGCTAAGGATAATAGTAATACCGTTCATCCAATTTTGTGGGGGCTGAAAGTGGTACCAAGTTCGGTATGGTTGTTTTTCATGTACTCTGTGGTGGGATGCATTGATCTGCATGATGGTTGAACCAAAGTTATTGGAAGGTCAACAAGAACCACATGGCTAATGGTTTGGTTTGATCAAGGGCTAATATATGCAATTATGCACACTGTGAATCATTCACTGTGGAAAAAACACCACAGGAATCGTGGCATAACATATTAGAATTTTATATACATCAACTTTCAGAATAATGCAAACTGGAAATTATATTTATAGATGACTTGACTTTCAAAGTCTCCCCAAATTGGAATTTTTAAAATAAATTACGTAGGAGATATACCACATAGCTATTATATAGTTTTTTTTTTTTATATGTATATAATCGTGTTTAAGACGCAAAAGATGTACTCAAATTCCAGAAGGGAGAAGTATCCCAAATTCCTGTTAGGTCCTGCAAACTACACTTATGTGCTTGAGTATTATATTATGGCAATCTTTAGTGGAAGAAACGCGGAAAAACAGGAGAAAACTCTTGGCATTATGTGAAAAGGAAAAATATTACATTGCATACTCCAATAGATAAGTCAAAGTTGATCTCATTAATCTCATTATTAAATGTTACTTGTTATTCAAAGACTCGAAGTCCTCAATGCAAACATATTAAAAGAAATTTAAAGTCTTGCTCTTTGCTTTTTAGAGGCTGTAAGAAGTCATGTCTCTTGACATTTACTACTGATGTTTTTCTTTAATTCAAGTTATCTCTCACCAAAGAAAAACTATTGGTAGAGGTCATTGGGTTAGAGAGTTTAAACACAAAGAATACTCTAAGAGTAGGTAGTGAGATTATTTGGATACAAATTTAAAAATATTTTTAATAATTTTTTTATTAAAAAATACTCTATTTCTAATAGGAAAGTTCTCATAAATGCTTTTAACTTGCATTTAAATAAATTCTATAGCATATATGAGCTTTAATGTGTTACAACTATTGGTTAAAAATTGAAGACTATGATTAGGATGTATTGGTGGATACGGCTGTGACAGGCTGTGAGTGCACTGCAGATAGAGGAAATGAGACGAATTCCCCGGGATGAGGTTCATATAAATCTTTCACTCCTCATCTTTCACTCTCTCACGGACCATGCCATTTACTTTATCACAACTTTTGAGGACAGAATGTTTGGCTTCAATAATCAATCAATGTCAGACATCTTATACCGCGTTTAACAAATAGTATATATATTTTGACAAAAAATAATATTTATATATATATATATATATATATATATATATATATATATATATATATGTACCTGCTCAAGG